GGCTTCCACATCATCAATATACTTGCTAACTAAGTTGCAGTTACAGAAATTTCAATTATAACTGGTGATTTTATGATTCTGAAAGAATTGAACTTGACTCTCACAACCCAATTTGAGTTTTCAATACTTACAGCTGGGAAAAAAACATCTTTTAACTAGTAAACATAGTAAATTTGATATGGAGAAACAAAAAATATGTCAGTCGCATTTTTACAAACTCCTTTTTCAGAACAGAGCTGCACTCAAATTCTTTTAATATAGTTAGCAGTGGTTCAAAATACTGCAATAGAATAATTTTAAAGTTGAATGTTATAGACTATTATTTTTGCAGAACCAATATTATCTAGTGTCTTGAACAGAGCATTGAGAGTATGGATTCCTGGACTGCATTCCTTTGACCGTTCTATTGCCGCTGATTCTCTATGCAAGCTGGGGCAAGCCATTTAACCTTTCTTTTCTTAATTTATCTATTCTGAAAAGGGATTGTAAAGTACCTTATTGAGGAACTGTGATGCCTATCTAACTAATCAATATTTATAACACACATTGGGAATCTTGCACTAAAAGTGTTGTATTATAGTAGTATATTTGGATAATGGATGGCATTATCAAGATATTTAAAATGTTGATAGAACTAAAGATCTGTTCAATGCAATTAAAAATAATTAGAAATCACTTCACTTTAACAATTAACTTCATTACCTTAGGAACCTATTGGAACTGTAATAATGAGAAGAAAATGTTTAAACCCCTTTCTTGCAAGTAGATTGGGCCTTAGATTGTAAACTCCTTTTTAGATTAGTTTGTAAACTCTTGGGGCATCCTTGTGTTTTAACGGCACCAACAGAATGGGACATTACTAATGAGTGGGCCATGTGTGCACTTCTATAACATTAAATAATAACAAGTCTCTTGTTATGGGATTGCCAAAGAATTCATATGGTATAATCAGATGTCTCCACCAAAACTAATTTATGGGAAGCCGCATAATCTAATGGTTTGGGCAGGAGACTGTGCATAACAAGACTTAGCTGTATTTTCAGTCCAACTACTGTTTTACTATGTGATCATGAGAAAATTACTTACATACATGCTTGCAGTATCAGGATGTAACTTTAGGCATGTGAGTTGATCCACTGCCTTCAGGTCTGTCACCCAAAAAAAGGATCTCTCTGATGTGAAGAGACCACATCAAGAACAATAGAAGACTTTTAGAATAAATTGATACATTGAACAACGATAATCAGCAGTACCAGACAGCATTCACCCAGCATTCTGGTGGAACTCAGATATGAAATTGCAGAACTACTAAGTGTGGTATGTAACCCAGGGCTGGATTAAGGGGGAGGGGGTCTAGCCGGGCAGCTGCCGGGGGTGCCAACCTATGGGAGGCGCCTGATGGCAGCTGTAAGGGGCGCACACGCCCATCCGCGCGGCACCCCTTAGAGCTGCCATTAGGCACTGCACGCCCGGGACCTGTGCGGCACCCCTTAGAGCTGCAATCAGGTGCCGCACGCCCAATTGCAGCTGGAAGGAGTGCAGCGCACCAGGGGTGGAGCCGCGCATGCGTTGCGTGCCTGCTGCCCAGGACGCAGGAATGGCTCGAGCCGGCCCTGATGTAATCTATCACTGAAAAGCTACAGAGGGGTAGCCAAGTTAGTCTGTAACTGGAATATATTTAAATGCTGGAAATAAACTGCCTATGGAGGTTGTGGAATCTCCATCTCTGGAGATATTTAAGAGCAGGTTAGATTGACATCTATCGGGGATGGTCTAGAAGGTGCTTGGTCCTGCCGTGAGAGCAGGGGACTGGACTCGATTACCTCTTGATGTCCCTTCCAGTTTTAATATTCTATGGAAAAACTTAATGAATAGTCTAGCAGCACCTTAAAGACTAACAATACGGCTACGTCTAGATTGGCATGATTTTCCGCAAATGCTTTTAACGGAAAAGTTTTTCGTTAAAAGCATTTGCGGAAAAGAGCGTCTAGATTGGCACGGATGCTTTTCCACAAAAACAGCTTTTGCGGAAAAGCGTTTGTGCCAATCTAGACGCACTTTTCCACAAAAAAGCCCCGATCGCCTTTTTCACGATCGGGGCTTTTTTGCGCAAAACAAATCTGAGCTGTCTACACTGGCCCTTTTGCACACAAAAAAGGACTTTTGCCCGAATGGGACCAGCACAGTATTTCCGCAAGAAGCACTGATTTCAGACAATAGGAAATCAGTGTTCCTGCAGAAATTTAAGCGGCCAGTGTAGACAGCTGGCAAGTTTTTCCGCAAAAGCAGCTGCTTTTGTGGAAGAACTTGCCAGTCTAGACACAGCCCACATGTAGATATATCATGAGCTTTCATGGGTACAACAATGAAGAAGTGGGTTGTACCCATGAAAGCTCATGAAACCATCAACATGTGTTGTTAGCGAATACTCTAGCAGCACCTTAAAGACTATCACTGAAAAAAAGCCTCTGTTACAAATCACTGGAAGGTAGCTAATGTAACACTGATTTTTAAAAAGGTCTTCAAAGATGATCCTGGCATCTACAGACTAGTGAGGCTACCTTCAGTACTGGGCAAATTGATGGATACCATAGTAAAAAAACAGAATAATCAAACACATAGATGAATAAAATTTGTTGATGAGTCAATGTGGCTTTTGTAAAAGTAAGCCATACCTCACTGATTTAATACAATTCTATGAGGGAGTCAACAAACATGAGGATATGGATAAGCCAGTCAACATAGGGTACTTGGATTTTAAGAAAGCATTCAACAAGGTATCTCACTAAAGAAACTAAGTGGGGTAATAGGAAATGCCCTCTCATGGCATCTTTCAGGATCCAAAGTTCCTACATATGCCTCTCTTGACATGTGGTATACCTCATGCAATGTATGTACTAAATGACCTAAAAACTATGGGGGCGAAACAAGACAATTAGTACACTCTTGAATGAACTCACTCAGAAAAATGATAAAAGAGAAAAATACCATATCACCTGAGAGTGAATATTTTTCACAAAGTGATTGGCTCACCCTTATGCATATCTATATCTGATCTTTTAGTCCTCATATTCAAAGGAAACCTGCACAGCACTTTCAAAAGACGAGCCAGTGATCTTAAATTCATAATTTTACTAGGCACTAAGAATAAAGGTCTTAATAAAGCCACCTGATGTATAGCTTATAATAATTTGTAACCCTCTAACCCCCTCTTTTTATCCCATGACTACAGAGATATTAATTTGTTCATTTACCTTGAATAGTTCCTTATAACATGTGTTAACTACTTATGCTAAAGTCTGTTCCACCATGCATTTCTTGCACTTCTCTCTAGTCTTTCTGCAGCTCTAGTGCCCACCATTTTTGGAAACAGGATATTGGGCTAGATGGATGATTGGTTTGAGGCAGCATCACAGCTTTTAGTATTTGTAGAATTAGGGTTTTAATCTCCACTTCTGCCTTTGCTTTGAGCCACACCATAGTATTCACTTTTGTAAAATGCTTTGAGATCCTCAGATAACTGCAAAACACACTTTTCACCATGAATCAAGAGAGAATTTGAATCTGCCTGTTCAACAAGCTCTCCTGATTCATTTCATTCTATCTGCTTAGCAATGTTCTCTTTTAGCTAAAAGATTAATTCAAAAGGAATAAGAAAAGCATTCTTTCCAAGACACACTTCAGTGGAGTAAATAGTTCTTGCAAATATAAGGCTCCAGAGATAAGCAATTTGATCTTCATACCACAACCATGCATGCATGGAGTCTCCTTGATTCCTCATGTGTGTGTGTATTTATGAAATATGAAAAAGTCAAGTCTAAAAGGAAGACAAGCAATAATGTTCACGAATAACTTCTCTTTGGTGAAGTTTATGTAGGAGAAGAATGAGTATATTTCAATCCATCCTACAACATTTGAGGATTACTGTTGCTACTCTGCATGTTGAATAGTAATAGAGAGGTAGCCGTGTTAGTTTTTCCTTTTGTTTTAGCAAGATCAGACTATGTAGCACTTTAAAGACTAACAAGATGGTTTAATAGCTTTTGTGGGCCAGACCTATTCTGGCCCTGGAAAGCTCATCACCTAGTAAACTATCTTGTTAGTCTTTAAAGTGCTACATAATTTTTCCTTTTGTTGTTGCTACTCTGTTTCCTTTAGGACATTTGTAATGTATTCATGTATTTATTTTCCCTAACTGCAATACCTCTTGTCTCATATCTTAATTTCCCTCTCTGATCTATAACTCACAATTGCCCACATCTTTGGTTGCTTTTGGCTATACATGGGTGTCTTCACTGAGGTGTCAATTCCAAGAATAAAAAATTATGAGTCATGCCCTCTCCAGTCAGGAGATTGGCTTAAAATTCACTCAATTAAAAAAAAAACCAACAACACTCTCAGTTGTGTAAGTTTTTTTAGTTGGCTGCTGTGTTCTCAGCTTTTAGAATTTACTTGATTTGCATTTGCAGACCCATCTTGAGAATCACGAGGGCTTAAAAAAAACCTTTTAAAAAAAATGAGAACTGACATTCTCACATTACCAAATTAATTCAAGCCCCAGGGCTTTATTGAAAACACTAACTACTGGGAGAGTTGGCCGCACAGCTTTTGTTTTGTTGTTGTTGTTATCATCCTATTGTGGTAACACACCTTCCTGCGCTAGGGCCCCACCACGCTAGGCACCGTCCAAAGCTAACAAAAAAGTCCTTACAAACGCACAATCCGGTCAGTTTCCCTCTTGTGTGTGTTTGCCTTACAGTTTGAGCGGGGG